AACCACGGCCACCATTGTCGAGCTGGCCGAGCTGTGCCTAGGCCTCGCGTGCACACGAGCACTGCGCCGCCATGCTGCTTCGGTGACGCTGTTGTGCGACCGCGCTGTGAGGCGTTGTCATGATGCCGTTCTCGTTTGTTCCCAGATGCCGCCGCGTGCGCGTGCCACCTTAAACGTTGAGCCACGTGTGGGGTCGAGCCGAGGCTGTGGCCATTGTTGCCATGCTCGCGTGGCGGTCGCCCCGTCCTATGATTCACCTACCACGGGTCTGTGTCACTGCCCACCGCATCTGGGTCAACCTACCCTAGCCACAGGGTGACGGTGATGCCTCTCTACTCGCTCTATCCCTCTAGCCAACGCCGATGACCCCGCTCTGGCCCGGTTACTGTGTTTTAGTGCTCCACGCACAAGCACCCCTCTTGGCTCCGTCCAAGAACTAACCGGCGCGCCTCCTGACCTCGCTCGTGTGGCCCTGTCCTCGCGTTGTCATACCCTATTGGGTCGTGGCCAGATCACCTCTGCCGGGGCTGTTTCATGCGATGTAGTAGTGGCGATGCACCGCTCTCTCTACCTTTCATAATCACCAGCTCAAGACTTCTTAGCCCAATTCCATGTGCTAGTGAGTAGCATGGGGAGTTAACTAGATGCCCCATTCTCATCGGGTCCAGCGATGGTCTGGCTGTGGCTAATTTCGGTTTTGCCACCGCCGGCCATGAGAGCCGCCATAGCCAGTGGGTTGGGGGTAAGTCCCAATTCATGGGGGAGAACCTAATTGGTGGTGTTTCTGGATTCGTGTTGATCTCCTCTAGCTAGTGCCCGTGTCAGGTTGGCCCGAGTTTCCACCGTGGGTGTTGTGATGCGTGGTGCCTTGCGCTGAGGCCCAAGACGGTGCAGTCTTGGCGCAGACGTGGCGAACCACCTCAGCACTTCCTAGTTTCAACCATCACCGTAGCTCAGTGCTCGATGAGTTTCTGGTGCTTCCCCGCCATCTCTACCTCTTCGTTAGTGCCCTAGGTCGTCAGAATAGTTGTGCCGCCGCCGTGGATAGCCACTCATGCCAGTACATCTCCGAGTTCCTAACCGCCACCCATTCTTGCGTGTTTAGTCGTAGATGGTGGTCGGCCCCTTACTTCCGTTGTAGCACGCCTAGGTTGCCCGGCGTAATCACCCTATGCCGTTAGCCGCCACGCCGATGAGCGTGGGGATTCCTAGGGACCTCCCGTGGTAAAGGTGGAAACATCCGAGGGTTTATTTGTAAAACAGCCGTCGCGCATGGGCTCCCTTGGCCCTAGGCCGCGTTGGGCCATCATGACCTTGCACAACAACCACTTCGCATAGCTAGGCTCTTGGGCGAATTGATAGCCACCGGCCCTTTTCTTTTCCTAAAGCATTTTCTAATTTAGTTTCTAAGGTAAACTTGTAAATTCAATATAAATTTGTGTAGTGGACCAAAAATTGTGAAACTAATTTATTAGGTTCCTAAAATCATGATCTATCTGCTAGTATATCTTATTCACATAGTTTTATAATATTTTCAGGGGTTCTCTAATTAAATTAAGATGCTTAATATTGTTAAGATAGAGACTTGTAGGAATTTTTGTGATAAATTGATGATAGTGTTGGCTCTAAAAAATTCACAGTAAATTTTTAATATTATTAGGTGCTCACTGTAATTTTTATAGCTCCAGAATAGTTAGTGTGCTAAGATAGCTAATCAGTCCTAGTTCGAATATATATTAAATCCATGAAATGGAAAAAGAAACACCTTGGGTTTGTATAGCTAAAACACTTATCGGGAAATAACGCTTTATTCGACAACATGGATACATGGCCTAGTATATTAGTCATTAGAGTTATCTCGTAGCTTGAGAGGCGTAATCGTCTTTTAGGAGTTGTGATTGCCATTGATTAATTACGTCTCTACGTTGCATCCACGTATATCATAATAGGGATAACGATGGATCGTGGAGTCATCTGGAGTAGTAGAAAAGATGGTGTCTTGATGATCTTGTCCCCATGATGGAGTGCTAACTTTTCGTTATATCTTACCCAGGCAAGCCTCGATGCATAACGCCTATTATTCTGCAGTTTATTTTATGCTTGTACATTAAGCTTTAAGGAGTTGAATGAAAACCACTTGTATATATATATCCTTATCCTATGAGTCCTACTAGTATGTCAAGATTGTATAGATTGCTATGCTATAGGATCCGGTAGAAGTAGAGTGATTACCTGTCACTCACGAGAGATAGAAAAGATATTATTGTTGTTATTATATTACTATCACATGGAATATATATGGAGGATAATTGGAGACCGGACAGAATGGTAAACTTTGAATCTAGACTTGGTTAGGCATTCGAGCAAGACTTCGATTGCACTTGTTCCGCCTGTGTCGATTGAGGACCGTCCATTGCTGTGGATGGTAGTCACGTCACAGACTTATTATCCTGAGCACATACTTGTTTATGGGAGCGGGAAGGCTTGTTACGCTCTTGTTATGGGTTCCGGCTCTTTTCGGATCGACTGATTGGAGGCAGAGAAAGGTGGAGGTCTAAACACCATATTGAGACTGGGTCTCAAGTGTGGGAGCTTGGAGTCCAAGTAGTTTGGACGGGGACCTAAACCCTGTGACAGGAGTCGAATGGGTTGGTCTTGTTTGTACCTGGGGTACAAACGGGGCGTGTGTTTCGGGATACCCAGCTAGGATATACTAATTCGCGAATCGTTGTTTCTCTGAGACGATACGACTTGGCTATGGTCTAGCACCGTAGTAAGAACTAGAACTTAAAAGGTGATAAAATGGTTCTGATTGCTTACCACCTACTTAAAAGAAGCATATGTGCTTACATAGAATGGATAGTTAAGGAACTAATGATGACTATTAATAAAATTTAATATAAGGACGCACGTTTAGTAATGCTTCCGTAGATGCAATAACCCACAAGCCAATAAGCCTTGCATATCCTTAGAGTCTTTTATCTTTCTCCTATTGGGTAAGTCTTGCTGAGTACAATAGAGTACTCAGGGTTTTATTCCCCCTGTTGCAGGTGACCGATGGATGGTAGATGACTTTTGTGTGTGGAAATCTCCTAGTGGGCTCAAAGAGGATTCCTTTCACGCTACGACCGTAGTATTTATTTATAACCCTCACTAAAAGTTTTAGAAGAAAAGTTTTATGATTTACCATTAATCTTTATTTCTGCTGTAATTCTGATCATATGTTGTTCTCCGCTGCAAGATAAAAATGTAAACATAAAATATATAAACTCTTTTACATGTAAAACTGTCTTAATTTTGCTATTGCATTCAACTTGTTTAAGTACTCTAATGTTGTAATAAAGTAATGTAAGAAATGGTCAAGAATATTGTAAGCTTTATTCTCTCATTTATGATCCTAATGGAAAAATATGGATTTTTCGAGTTCTCCTTTGGGGTGTGCTCGACGGAACAGCACGATTTAGTGCACTCTCTTGGGTACTTAGTGTCTAATAGAAGACAAGTACTTTTGGGAGGGCATTAGATTAGACGGTTCTGCCATATGCTAGGAGCAGCAGCTAAGTGCTGGTCTCTTTGGTTATGTAGGAATGACCTGGTTTTTGAAAAGAAATATACTTCTTCTCCTTTACAGGTTATCTACTCAATTATACATTGGCTCCGTATATGGGCTATCCTACAGAAGCCAACTTCATAAGATTTGGTTGTAGAGGCATCTCAACAATTGGCGCGGGTGGCCAAAGAGTTTTTTACCCAGACACATGGGTGTCTTCGGATTGAGTGTTATTAGTGTATCTTTTTATTTTAAGATCTTTTGTAAGGCTGGGTGTATCCTTGTTATACATAGGCCGAAAGTGTTTCAAGATCTCTGTATCATCTCGATGTAACGATCATAGAATTAATAAAGCTTTCCTTATCGAAAAAAATGCAAAAGCTGGTGTCCCTATATCTAGTAACAATGGTATGTGATCCGATATATCGGCCCCTCTATGGGGCTTGTATGATCACCAAAGGGTATTTAAGTTCCCATTCGGTTGGCATCAAAACTAGGTCCATCTTCTCTATCCCAATACAGTGGTATGAACTAGGGAAGTCAATTACCTCAAAGGTGAGCGTCTTCCTCCTGAAGTCATTAGTCGGTGTATCGAATGAAACAGGAGCACACCTTGTGGAATGAAAGCGTCTTGATGTAAAGGATGCTGAGCCCACTGCCCCCATCCATGAGGACCTTGAAAAGGCAGATGTTGCCAGCAAATGGATCCAGCACTAGAGGGAACCTACATGGCTGGGGATGTAGTTAGGTTGATCCAAGCGGTCGAAGGAGATTGCCAACTCGAACCACCATAGATACTGGGGCATAGTTGGCTCGATGGCAATGACCTCCAAGGCCGTGTTCTTTTGTTGATGCTTTGACTCATAAGCGTCGAGGCCATCATGAGACACACCTTCTCAGTTATGAACCCCTTATATCTATCATTAACAGCGAACGTTCTTCTTGCTATCATGGGCTTTGGGTCCCCCACCATGTACGGGCAGTTGAGATCCCATCCTGGTCGGCTTATATATATGACTCCTGTTTGGTTATAACAAGATTTGACTGCTGTGTACACATTTATATCAATCTATGTCTTGTACATCAAGTAGACAAGGGAACCTTAGTAGCAATCACCTTCGGCCAATCAGCCTTAGCCCACCCTGTCCAAGCAACTAGCCTTAGGGCTGCCGTCCCTCCACCTCTCTCTAAGGCGCGGCTAGCCTTATGGCTGCCGTCCCTCCCCTCTAATCCCCCTCTAATCTTCCAATTCAACCATCTAATTAACGGGAAATCACCCCCCAGATCGGACGTGTGACAGCCCTACATAGGTGAGTATTCTCTTCGGGATACCTCTTGGCTGCCCCTCTTGTAGTCTGTTTTGGTTCCTGTTTTTTAATAAAATGCTGGGGAGCTTGTCTCCACAGTTCCAGTTAAAAAATATATTAAATAGCAACCAAACCATTGTTGATCAGTTGGTCAGGCCATCCGTCGTTTGCTTACACTGGCCAGCAACGATCTCACCGTCCCACAAGTCCTTTGCGGTTTTGTAAGGCCCGGATTCGCTGACCAGGAAGTCATAGTTTCCTCTGGACTCTGGCAGGGCACCGATCTTGAGGTGGTCCTCGTTGGTGAGCTCCCAGTCGAAGATGCCAAGGTTCTCTCGCATCCTCCTCTCATTGAAGCTCTTGGTGATGACGCAGTCGCCCATCTCATACACCCACCTTATGCACACCTGCACCCCATGAATGCCGTTGCCAGGAGTGGATAACAAGATTTATATATGGCCTAAAACGGAAGATGATTTACACGAGCGACCACTGTTAATTAATCACAAAAATGCACTATATATGTCCTAACATAATTAGAGTTACCTGAGCAACAGTTTTACCCCTGTCCTGGGCGATCTGCTGAAGAACAGGAGAGTTCATGACAGAGTTGTTAGCCCATAGTGTGCCCTTGGCCCCCAGGGGTGAGTAGGCACAAAGTTGGACTCCTTTCTCCTTGCAAAACGCCCTCAACTTGTTCTGCCGGCAATAAGGGTGAACCTCAACCTGAGGTACAAAAAAAATTGCTTAAAATAAGAAAAATTAAAAGTACACCCGGCCCACATATGTGTCAAGTTAATCCAACAGGAAATACAATATTTTATCAAAATACAAATCAGAAAAATATGTTCCTTCGGGATGCAGTATTGGATGGTCCAGATTCCATTCACATAAATCACACATCTTGGTGGAGCCAGAGATAAGGTGAGGTATATATGTTCCATAGGAGTTTCATATAGCAAATCTTTGGCCTCTATATATCATGTCCAATTCCGTTGCTTCACAACAGCAAGCCAACTATTCTGTTTATTTTGCAAGCAGGGCAGGAGTGATTTTTATTACCTGGTTAACCGCCGGAGGGATCTTTGCAAAGGAGAGCAGGTAGTCTAGCTTCTTGCAGCTGAAATTGCTGACGCCTATGGCCTTTGCCAGCCCTTGCTGCTGGCACTCCTCCATGTCTTCCCACACACCCTCCATGTCCATCGGCAACAGGTCCTCCTTCAACAGCAGCGGCCCTCCTGGAGCCGCTGGTGGCCTCATGCTCACCGGGTGGTGAATCAGATACAGATCGACGTACTCCATTCGCAGATGTCTGACGACCGAGTTGCATTGCAATTGGTCAATTACACCAAGAAAGAGACGAGACAACCACCATCACTCACTTAGCTGCATATATACACGGATGGTTTCACTTGTGCTTGGCTGCTGCCAAGGGGTTTATATATATAGTGGGCGGCTACTTACTGGAGAGTCTTCCTCAGCGCCGGCTGGACGCGGCCGGGGTGCGCATCGACGATCCAGAGCTTTGACGTGACATAGAGATCATCCCGTGACGCGACCATTCCGGTGCGCACGGCCTCAGCCACAGCGTCCCCGAGCGCGGCCTCCGTGCCATACACGGCGGCTGTGTCCAAGTGGCGGTACCCGACGTCAATGGCGTGGAGGATAGCCTGAACCACACCAGTGTGCCCTTCACCCTTGCCAAGCGTCGCGGTCGCCGTGCCCATGCCCACCCGGGGCATGGGCTTGCCGGAGCTCAGCGCCACCGCTGGCACGGGCATGCTGGGCACGGACCTCCCTTGATGGGCAGACATGGCTTGGCTAGCGAGGTGGCGCTCGCCTCAAGTACGCGTGCAGGATTTGTGTCTCGCCCGGGGAACGGATGGCATGCAGTCACATTGAACTATCTATATGGGACTACCCTAGTGGCCCAATGTATGGTGGTTGCGAGCATGAAAATGCAATCCCACATGTCATTGTGACCACCGGGCTTATCCTAGTCCTCGATCTTATCGTGGGTCCCACTCCTTTTATTTATTATTTAGTCGTCTTCTCTCCCACTTGGCAGCACGACAGCACCTCAGCCGCATTGCTGCGCGACTGCGCCTCCTCCTCCAGTGCCAGTACCTGTCGCCGCCCCAACCTCCGCCGCTCCCACCGCCACCCCCGGCCTCCACCACCCCGGTCATCGGCACCGGCCTTGGCCAACGTCATCACCCTCACGGCCCTGGCCTCCGCCGCCATCGTGTCGGCCTGTACTCCGCCGCCCCCGGCCTCCGCCTCCCCGGCCGCCGGGCCCCAGCTCCTCCGTCACCCACCGCGAAGGCACCTGTTTCGGGCGCGAATCTTGACGCCCTCGTTCGGGCAGGATAAGCCTGGTGTCCGCAGGGGCACGTGGAAATTCCACATTGGTTACGAGCATTATATCCTATTTTGATTTGTCGTCTTATCAACTGGTACTAATACCTAAAAACAATTATGATCCGTGACAAGGTCACAAGAGCCCATGGACTCTTCCGATCACCACATCCCACCACTGCATGCCCATGGGCCATGACCACTAGGAACGTGCCGCCTCGCCGCACCACCCGCCCCTTTCGCCCCCATCCACCGATCCTACCCTCCGCTAATCCGTCACCTCTACTAATCGGTCGCCGACGAGCCTTCTCGCCCAAGCACTAGCCATCACAGACACCATCCACCATAGCTAGTGGTTCTCCGCTGCCTCGCTGCAGCACCTACCCACCAATAGGCCAACCTACTGCCAGGGTTCTAGGGTCGAGGGGAGGACAGGGAGCAAACCCTAGCAGAGATGTAGTGATGGATAACCAGCGACACATGACCGGACGTGGATTAGAGTTTGCGTAATATTTAGTTAGCTAATTATTAGGAGGTGCATAGGATCCTCCTACTAGGTTGCTAATAGATAGTGCACAACTATTAGTAACCTCAAACCTGCTAGGTGGAACTAATAGTTAGCAATCATAACTAATTAATAGTTATAGTTGATCTATTAGTAGATCTATGTGAATCTATAGTACTAATTTTATCTTTTAATTATTAGCACAGTAGACCCAAATAGACCCTATGTTCAGATATATGTTTTCCAAGGCAAGTGATAATATATTCTGGAGGAAGATATAAAAGTTTATTACCTCACCAAACATTACCAACTAATGTTGCTTTTTTTTAACTTGAGTTCCACCGGTAGTTGTGTAAGGACAATAGAATAATACACGGGATGATTTCAAAATTTAAAATAGGTCGATAGAGTCAGAAGCTATTAACTTAATGGTTAAAATGGGTTCTTCCAATCATCTCATCAACATTTTCAAACAAATGCAGTATGATGACTTGTTAAGTATGCTCATGCTTGGAATTAAACCAAGACATCTCATATTTTGAAGGTGCAAATAAATAAAGATGGAATCCTAGTTCATTTTTAACTTATTTTATCTAATGCATTGTATACTAATTTTAATGTGTTATCATGATATTTTGAATCTTTTATCTCATCTTTGCTCAAATGTTGATAGCTTTTATAACACATGGTAACAGAAAAATATTTAATCCAACTCGTGCTATATATCCAATAAACCACTGAAATCATTTTGTCAAAAAAAAACCCAGTGAAATCATAGGCTTTAGCTAAAATTGGTTGAAGGCATGGGAGAGGCCTAAAATCAGCTGCGGACTGGCCTAATGCCGTCCCTATCCACGAGTAGTCCTGTTCATTTGCAAGCAGCATGCATGAGCTCGAGTAAATATTTGTGTCCACACAAAGTCTCCATATAGATAGCTTTCTCGTTAGCCGGAACTTTGTTCCATTATTAAAAAAAAGATAGCTTCATCGTCAACAAATTGTCGATATGAGGCAGGCAGTGACAGGCGTCACAAGGATGTACACACTCGAAGAAGACAAGGAAAAAATGTTGACAGGCTTGCAGGACGTTCCAGAATTATAGTGACCTGCGCTTTCATAGAGTTGGGACCTTTACTTTGTCTTCAACTACGCTTGATTGCTGATCCACAAACTCTATTTTTATATATTTTTCATATATATGTGATACTTCTTGTAAATCAGGAGTTGCTTCTTTTTAATATATTAGCAAACATCGGTAAACTTGACAATTATTCGCCTAAACAGAACATTTTCTCCTTTCCCACTTGCTAATCTCTTTTCAATCCTTTCTTTAATGACTTTCCAATCTTTATAATTAAGTTTTTTAATGCATTGGTAGACTTAGGTAGCGAAAGGGGTAAGTTCCAAAATACATAGCAATAACTTCATGTTCATGGGTTGTTGAATACCATGGTCTAGAAAAATCACTGTGTCATCTGCATATTACAGGATAGACAAGCCATCTTCTACTAGGTGTGGCACTACCCCTATATTTGCACATTCACTTTGGCTCTTGCAATTATGATAGCTAGCATGTCCACAAATATGTTAAATAAATATCCTATTACAACCCACATATAGATCTATATAATCTAATCCATAACGAATAAAATTGTCTCTTGGACACGTCACCAACAACTAGTACCCGTGTGCCCCGAGCCCTGCGCACCATTGGCATCTTCCCGCACACAGATCCTGGGGGTGATCGTCGTCCTCGCACAGGGTAGCCTAGGTGCCCTGCAGGTGAAGCACACAAATGAAGATGGCGAAGGGAGGAGCTACTACTGGGTGGACCTGGACATGAATCCCGTGCCTAAGCGCTTGTGGTCAACAGCGGCAACCTCTTGCATATGACGTGTAATGATGATGGGTATAAGAGTGCGGAGCAACGGGCATGTTTGGATGAAGTCCGGGGCTAAAATGCCTGGCCTGCAACCTTGCCTATAGCCTGCCTTGGTTGGAACCCTGAGATATATCTGCCTGTGTCAGTTGCCTGCTACCAGGAGAAAGAAATCGGTCACCTGGCTTCTCAACCAATCTGCCTGGATGTATAATAAATGCACTAATCTCTTTCCTTAGCTCAAGGCTCAAGGCTCAAGGCTCAAGAAAGATGTGACGTACTCATATGTATTCAAACACAGGCACCTGCTGAACCAAACACTGCCTGCCCTTCTCTTCGCACAGGCAAAATACAAGGGCTTCAACCAAGCGACACTATGAAATCGAGTATGCCTGACCAGGTAATTTTGCCAACCATAACAGGCAGGTCACAGGCAACTCAAATGCCCAGGCAACTTGCCCAGGGTACAAACCAAACATGCTCCAAGAGCCTAGGCTTTCAATCGCCCTCTTCTTCAACCCCGGGAAGAGAGGGGAGGGGGATTTTTATAGACCATTGGTAGATCTGCTTTCAGCTTTCTTTAGCAAACCCGCTAAGTTAAAAAAAATCACCATTCTTGAGTTCTTTAGCTAAGAGCTTGGGAGCAACCATCTCTACTTCAGCACTTGTAACCGCGCTTATGCCTTGTGTGATGCTTATATATAATGCAAATGAAAATGTTCCGCACTAACCTAAAAAATTCCATTGTCTCTGTTTTGTGTACCATTTTCGCCAAATCTATCATACATCAATGCACACAATATTTTGTTTTTATATATACTTTCATTTCACGATTAGACCATCATATATCATGTTTACAGTATAATACGACGAGTGAACAGATCCTACATGTATGCGGCAAGTTGCATTGTTGAGATTGGCGGCTAGCATGTGTGTGGGATTGTTTGATCCACCTTTTTAGCTCCACTCCCGATTTTACTAGCCAGGGCCAACTCCAGGCTCTGCTCAAAAAAATACCTGGGGTTTTGTAAACCATCTAAAGGCTACTTTAGAAACTCTTTTTTTTTGAACTGTTCCATGATAGAATTGGTGGAGTAGTTCCACACAGGCCCTATATCTCCTCTTGTTCTAGTTTTCAAAATTCACCAATAATTCACCATGTTCGCTGGTTGGTTTCAGACCAGGCTTATTCAGCCAGGTTTAGTGTTTTTCTCTCACAACAAACCAACACCAGTCAGCCCAAACCAGCCCAGAAACCAACCAACGAACACGCCGTTTGTTTAGGCTCAAGGAAAGCAAACAGAAACAAAGCTAGACCCAAAGGTATGCTATGCACCAGATGAATTCACAGATAATAATAAATAAAAGCCCAAAAACTGATAGAGTAGGTTAGAGGGTGAGCCTTTGTTAATGTGAGGGACAGAGTAAAATTAATACAATTTCGCAACAGCCACAATTACGGAATTACAGATTTACAGCCTTATAGGTACAGAAGAAGTTGAAACTTTCAAGGTAGTAGTACGTCTACGTCACAACATCAACATCACCATCAAGTCACAAGCAAGTTGCAGGCTTGTAGCATCACATCATTGTCCCAAAAATATGTCACATCGAGGCGCATGTATGGAGTATTAAATATAGACGAAAAAAAAACTAATTGCATAGTTGGTGAGAAATCGCGAGACGAAACTTTCGAACCTAATTAGTCCATAATTAGACACTAATTGTCAAATACAAACGAAAGTGCTATAGTAGCCAAACCCAAAAAATTTCGTGAACTAAACGCGCCCTTACTTACTGAGATATGGAAGTCCGTTTGAAGGTCAGGGCGCATAAGTGAGGCTTGCTTCTATAAATTGGCATCTCACTGACGACGTTCCATGCAATGTCACAAATGTGAGCGGCCGCAGAGGAAGAGGACGAAGAGGAGAGGGCTGTGGCGAGACGGACTCTGTTTTCATTCACAGGGCGGCGAGGAGAGGAAAAGGCTGGCGAAAGGATAGGATCGACGGGGTAGCTTCTGGATGCGGCGGGCCTGGCGTACATCCGCTGGCGGCATGCAGGATCGGACGGGCAATAGCGATGCACCGCGGATGAACAGGGATAAAGGTGAGGGGAACTGTTCAGCTACAGTAGAGGTCACCAAAAACAAAGATCTCTGTAGATAGATTTCATTCTGATGACCATTTGTGTCTTGACAAAGAGAGAGATCTGATACTCCACGCCTCCATAGAACAAAGGAAATGATCACAGAGCACTATCATCGGTCGTAGGAGACGAGCGGCGTTTGGTTAGATTGGCCGGCGGTGATCTCGCCATCCCATAACTCCTCTAATGCTTTGTATGGCCCAGATTCATGGACCAAGAAATCGTAGTTGCCCCCGGACTCTGGAAGCTCGCTAGTCTTGCGGCGGTCATTGTGAGCTCCCAGTCGAAGATGTCAAGGTTCTCTTGCATCCTGCTCTGGTTGAAGCTCTTGACGATCATGCAGTCACCCTGCTCGTAAACCCACCTAATGCACACCTGCACCCAAACTCCCTTCATGTCCAAGGCCGCCAGGCCTTTCTTCTCCACCACCACCGGGCCTTCTCCTTCTTGAGCCTCGTCGGGCGGCTCCATGCTCACCGGGTGGTGAATCAGGTATAGGTCCACGTACTCCATCTGCAGATTCCTGACAAAAGGACCATCAGTCATACTGCTGCCTGCTCTGGTGTTGTACACTGCGGCGGTGTCCAAGTGGCGGTACCGGCGTCGAGGGCGCGGAGGATGGCCTCCGTCACGCCGGCGCGGCCCTCCGCTTGGCACAATGATGGGACCCCTATCCCAATGTGCATTTGTGGTTGGTATTTTTGTTAGTTTCCATATGGTGGCCCTGTTTCGCTGGTATGAAACGTGGCTAAAAAACACTGTTCTGACTTAAATATTGTGAGAGAAAAATATTGGCCTCCGTCACGCCGGCGCGGCCCTCCGCTTGGCACAATGATGGGACCCTATCCCAATGTGCATTTGTGGTTGGTATTTTTGTTAGTTTCCATATGGTGGCCCTGTTTTGCTGGTATGAAACGTGGGTAAAAAGCACTATTTTGACTTAAATATTGTGAGAGAAAAATATTATTCCGGTTAAAAAAAGAAGCCGAATAAACTGGATTAGTATTTGCTTGATCGGGGTCTATATCGCCGCGGGAAAAAATTACATGCATGCAGGATGCACCCAGGTTCGGCACATACACAAGTCAATCTGCTGCCACGTGGACAACTCAACAACATCAGGTGGCAAGGCAACCGTCCTCGTTCTTTTTTTTCGACTGCAACCGTCCTCGTTCTGTGATTGGCTCGACTCTCACGCTAGGCTCCAGGATCTCGTCCGTCGATGCTGTTGGTTATCCATGTGGCAGCAAATTGACGTCCGTATGCATGGAGCCTAGGTGCATACCGTATGCATCTAATTTTCCTCCGCCCGTCTTTTGGCCAGGACGTACACGTCAATGCAAGAACCGTCCAAACCATCCTCGGCTTAAGTTTAAATGAACAACCGGTGGTTGCACTGTCCAACAGAGAACTATTCGAGTCATTGACTTTGACATATACTTCCTCCGTCCAGCAATAATTACACGTCTACCATTCAAAAATTTTCCCAAAATAAATAGTCACAATACAGGCTATCACATCCACATGTCAGACTGAGCGGCCGTAGGTGGAACAAAAAAAAATAAAAAAGTTCACTTGTGTCATCAAAATAAAAATAAAAAAATCAACCGAGGCTGTCTGGATGTGGACTCCAGAGGCTCCCAGATGCTTCTCATGCAGATCACGGTAATAAAAAATCCCCTGATTCACCGGTTCCACGCGCCGCTGCGTTAATCAACAGTGACAACAGCTGCACTTTTTAGGGGTAGAATTGTAATTTGCCAGCTACAGTATTTTGTCCATTTAAATCTTAGATGTGCATTTAAATTGGGACGGAGGGAGTATAATATAAACCCCATGATAGCACACATCTGAACAGTCGCACAATCGGTCATGCATCCATTTAAAACGCAAGTCATTCCTACAGTCCCCTGATATGTGTCTCAAGTGAATACCCAAGATCAAACATATATCTTTACACAAAACATCATCATCATCATACATGACAAAAGAGGGCAAATTTTAATGTAGATTACATGTCTTCAACACATTACATGTGTCCGTACACTACTGCAGGCCGTAGGTTGTAGATGCTCTGCAGAGGTGGCCGAGCCTGCTGCCTCTACGTAGTTTTGGCATAATACGTGGTGTGGTGGTTTCCATATGGTATCTTTCCATCCCCGTATTTTTTTTTTTTTTTTTTGCCAAGACGTACGTCAAACTCTGCCGCTGGCCGCGCACCATTGCATGTCGAAGCGAAGGACGGGACGACAGCTGGTGAGGCCTAAACAACATCGATCTCATCTCATGGGGGGCGCTGCCTGACAAGCTCATGAACCAGAAGTCTTGATATGAGACCCATTCGCTGGTCTGGAAAGACTAGCCAGCCGGCTGTTCCCCTCGTAATTTACTGTTCACCAAACCAACCGAATAGTATTTTCTCTCATAACAAATCAATCGGAACAGTGCTTTTTAGCCAAGTTTCAGACCAGCGAACGGGGCCAAATATAGAGTGCAACCAAGTTCTTTTCCCTGAATGAATGAGTCAGTCTGTCAGATGATTTTTGACAATTTATTACCTGAATGAATGAGTCAGCCTGTCAGATGATTTTTGACACAAGATATGCAGATGATTTAACAAAACATTGAACATTACGCAATCTCTGGCGCACCCGCCTGCTCTACCCGCGCAAACCGCTTGCTGGAAGCGTGCGGAGGTGGACGTGCTGGGACAGGGAACGGACACCAACACCAGTGAGCTCGATGTGGACACTCAGCTTAACGTTACCACAACTACAGCGTCGATCAGATGGAAGGAGGGCTGATCAGCCCACGGTGAAAACTTTACTAGGTACTACTGGTGAAGCTTGCTATCAAGACACAGGCTACATCAACTAGTGAGGTCCATAAGGAGGAAGCCGAGGAAGAGATGGGCCATGGTTAGCGCGTGAAGAGGCGCCCGTGTCCGGGTTGTTGGACCAGTGAACGTCTTGCGTGCGTATGTGTGGCTGAAACGCCGTTTTAATATAAAGATAGCGCTGCTGAACTCTGCAGAGAGGAAATTGGATGTAATACAACCTCAACTCTCAACTCAATCCATGTCCTCTCCTCTTCTCTAAACCCTCTAATTGCTTCTCCTTTATCCTCTAAAATTGGTTTCGTCCATCGATGGTAAGATCCCGTGCAATTCGCTTGGCTCTTTGATCTGACCCCACTAGTTCAAGTTTGGAACTAATCATGTTAGTCCTCTCCAAGTTTTTTTTTAAAAGGGTCAGCAGGGGAGGCCCCTACTTATATTTTTGGTATTTTATATAAATGATGATAAGTACAATATATACAGAATTACAAGGCAGTCAATGCCCAAAAGGAAAAAAGATTCTACTCATAAAGGAAAATTCTCACACCAACTAAGAAGTACATCCTTAATTTTCTTTTTGGCCTTGATACAAACCAGACCAATCTCCTCCTTGAAGGCACACTTCCATTGAAAATGAGGCTATAGGATTTGGCATAAAAAATCACACCATTTCTTGTAGTCCATATAAGCCAGCACGCAGTGATAACAAGCTCTCTGAAAGCAGACCTCCCAAAAGTGTTTCTTGCTTGGCAGACCATATCAAGAGGATCAAGATTAGTATCCCAGGAAATATTTATTGAGTTCCAGCAAGGAATACTGAAAGGGCAGTCGAAAAAAGATGAAAACAGGTTTCCTCCGAGTTGGTGTTGCAAAGAACACAATTATAATCATCCAGTTGTCTACTTTTTCTTCTCAAAATGTTCCTGGTGTTAAGGCGATCCATAAAAAGTAGCCAAAAGAAGAATTTGTGTTTCCCTAAGTTGCTAGAAGACCACATCCATTTTAAAAGAGGTGAGGCTTGCTGTTGACCAATCAGGATCCTGTAGGCTTTTGAGGATCTGTAGGTTGAAGAGCCCCAGTTGTAGGTCCAATGATCTTCTGTGTCCAAATCCCAGCTGAAGTTTTGGAGGAGAGCTTGCCAACTGTCTAACTGAAATGAGGCATGGGGAGAAAGAGGGAAGAAGAAGACAGTAGCTGGATCCTTTTCCAAAAAGAATCTGATAGAGCTTTTTGTTTTCTTACATAGCTAAAAAGTTCAGGATAGGCATCTTTCAGTAAGCCATCAGTCCAGGAGTCTTGCTAGAGCATAATTGAATTCCCTTTTGAAGGCACACATTTTGTTAAGTTTCTAAAATCATCTGCTAATTTGAGGAGATCTTTCCACCAAAAGGAACTGGTTGGAGTTTTAGCATGGGGGGTATGTGATTATTCTTATAAAATTTGCTCCAAGTGAGACTCACCCAATGGATGTTGGCATGATTATAAAATTTGTCCAAATATTTTAGAAGCAAAGCTGAGTTATGGTTCTGGGCCCTAATCCCTAAACCACCATCTTCTTTAGGTTTGCAAGCTACATTCCAAGCTGCTAGACAGGAACCTTTCCTATTTATATCACCCCCACTCCAGAGACAATGTTTTCAGTATTTATCAATTTGTTCAATGAGAGATGGAGGGATTTAAAGGCTGCATATGTAAAAAGTTGAGAGGGCTGAGAACACAGAGTTAGCCAAAATCAGTCTACCTTGATATGAGAGCATTTTACTGATACCACTGAGTCTTCTTTCAATTCTACAAATGAGGGGACTGAAATATTGTACAAATGGCCTTGTAGTACCAAGGGATAGTCCAAGATAGGTGAAGGGCATGGATCCAACCTTACAGCCAAAAGTATTGGCTAAATGTTGAGTCTCTTCTGCATTCATGTTAATTGGTACTAGGGAAGATTTCTGAAAGTTCACCTTGAGTCCAGTGCTGTCTGAGAAAAGATCTCAAAAGACCCTTGAAGATGAATAACATTCTAGCTTCAGTTGGCAGAATCAACATCAGCATATTGTACAATAGGATAGTCACCACCAAAATCCTCACTAAGAGGGTGTTTCAAAACCCCCAACTGCCAAGCTTTGTTAACAATGGTCTGTAGGAAATCTGCAGCAAGGACAAATAGTAAAGGAGATAAAAGGTCTCCTTGTCTGACACCTCTTTTGCAAGTAAAGCTCTTCCCTGGGATTCCATTGAGTAGTACAGCAGAAGAAGCAGATCCTAAAATATTTTTAACCCAGTGGATCCAAGTTTTAGAGAAGCCTTTAAACTTCAAAATCTGAAGAATGAAATGATGTTCTATTTTATCAAAGGCCTTCTCAAAATCAAGTTTAAGAATAATAATCTTTTTTCTTGGAGTGATGGCAGATGTGAAGAAACTGAAAAGCCCAAGCCAGACAGTCCTAGATGGTTCTACCTTTGATGAAACCATATTGATTATAATGTATCAGTGAGGGTAGGACTGACTGGAGTCTATTTGAAAGCAGCTTGGTAATGCTTTTGAAGGAATAATTAAGGAGGAAGATGGGTCTATAATCATCCACAGTAGCAGGGTTATCTTTCTTAGGAATAAGAGCAATGTAGGAATTATTTATATTGCTTAAGTCCAAACTGCCATTACTGAAATCAGAGAACAGTCTAATAAAATCATGTTTAATGAGACTCTAACTTT